CCCCATACCCCTTATCTGCCCCCTCCACCGCTCAGGTCCCCCCGGAGATTCCGCCCGATAATAGTCTCCGGATATATTATAAACGATTCAATTCTCATCTATCAATAAATGGGAATTATTCCTTCCGGGGGGATCGATAATAATAATAATAATATTGTACTAATCATAGGCGGATATCGTACGATGATAATATGTACAGTTCGGGGACTTCGTTCGATATCACCCACATCGGTGTATATAGAGAAGATTTGTACATAGTCGGTGCTGCAAAATGACAATTCCCTATTATTATTATATGATGTAATGTGTCGGTGATATGAGGAGGAATGACGTCACACACACGCCGATCTGCAGCCCCAAATCACCGCAATCCGGGGGAACGAATTTTCGATGTTTCAGTTCAAAATGTGAAAATAAAAAAATTAAATAATAATAATCGTCAGTATGATCGCAGGAGGATCGCAGTGCGGGGCATCTATAGAGAGGAGGAGAGACTTATATCTGTCATATAATAGCGCTGACATGGGTCGTGTCCGTGCACTGAGTCTGTAGTCATTGTCTTGGTGACGTCACTGGAAGGTTCCATATTGTATTCTCTTACCGATGTGACTGACGATCGATCTGTGTGTGTGTGTCGGTATATTTGTATCGCTTTATTTCGGGTAATTTGTCTGAAACGACTTTAGGGTTAGTTCACACCATAAACTGCATCACAAGTGCGTGCGTCTGCGCAGGTGCAGTGCCATCCGTTTTCATGCGTTTTTCCCCCCGCATGTCCCTGGATGATGACACAATCAATTCTGTTTGTTTTTGTATGTGTTCCGTTGCGTTTGATGCGCTTGCACTGCGTTTGATGCGCTTGCACTGCGTTTGATGTGTTTTCACTGCGTTTGATGCGCTTGCACTGCGTTTTGCTGAGTTTCGTTGCAGTTAGACGCAGGTGACGTAGGACAAGCAGTGGTGTGAATTGGGCAGAAGAACGCCTGTGTAGGAAAGCATTGGCATGTGACTGCGTGTGGTGTGCACCCGCCCTCAATCTTCCTGGAAATGACGCGGATAAAATCTCTCGCCGTTGTGTGCGTTGACGTCATGCGTGTAGTTGGCGCCATTTCTCATACACACACGGCGGTCATATAACGCAGAGCCGGAGCTCGCTCCTTCTGCACCCGAGGCAAGAACAGAAAATTGTGCTCCCCCAATGTGACGTCATGCGCCCCAACTCCAGGATGGCGGCACGCATGCGCAGAGTGCGCTGGGGGGACAAATCCAAAATACCATAAAAATTTGTTTCGTTTGATGGAAATAATGAAAACATTTGTAGTTTCCGCTCATTATGTCCAAAACACATCTTTATTCTTTCCACATGTCTAGTAATGTATGAGGGGGGACAAATCCAAAATACCATAAAAATTTGTTTCGTTTGATGGAAATAATGAAAACATTTGTAGTTTCCGCTCATTATGTCCAAAACACATCTTTATTCTTTCCACATGTCTAGTAATGTATG